TTTTACTTGTAAGCCTTTTACGCATCCATCATAAAGTAAACAAATTGAAATACAATATTGATTTTATATTGAAATGTTGATTTATTTACAAATGAAGTACAAATATAAACACAATTGCCATTCTGAAATTTAGCATGTCTTGTCATGAAAAAAAAAATCAGACGGTTGTCATTGCTGGCTTTAAGCAATAGTTAACAAACCAGAAACAGCTGAACCTAAAGCCCTATTTGCAGAGGATTAGTATTACCTATGGACCTCTGGTAATTTTCAAAGTACTGCCTCACCTCTGTGATACTTGCAGTGCATTCACACGGGATAAGCAAAGCTTGTAATTACTGTATTACTGACATCACGTAACGCTCGCACATGCGCGAGTCCCTCCGTGGCTTCCAGTCAAAACACATGGGGAACATGTTTGAATACATTGAATTATTATTGTAATACTCTTATTAACATGGAAAAGTTTTTATTTAAAACACTTCACACTTGATGCTAAATATCACACGATTCAATACTGTCAATAATTGAATCGTGTGAAACAGATGTATAGCATGTGTAATTGGTACCAAAAAAGCCCCTTCTGTTCTATCACCCTGTTTTGGTGCCTTTTCTAAGGAACCAAAACAGGGTGGTACAAAAGAAAGTAGCAAAGTGCCAGATAGTTTGTTCTTAGTTGCGCAGTCAAGAACGTGGCAGAGGAAAAGAAATGGCATCAGCCGTGTGTTCAGGTGGTATTTCAAAGTGGATGTGCTCTCTGTCAGCTCTAGAGACACCTTTACTGCTCAAACTGCCTCCAAATGAAGCCTGTCCCTGTCTGAAATCCTCCTAACTCCATCGCCGCAGTCACACAACGTTCAGACGGTAACCTTTGACCACGACACATGCAGAGCGCTGCTGCCACCTGCTAGCTCAATAAAACACTGTCTACAGTCAACCCCCAACATACAGTATATGACAGAGGGAACACAGACGTCTTAAGACGCGTTAATAAAGATGACACATTAATATTGATTTGCGTTAACAAGTTAAAAACGCAATATTTTTGACAGCACTAATTTAAACACTAGACGGAGAACTGGCAGGTTTGACAGTGATTCTTGACATTGTTATTTCTTTGAGTCTGATTGCAGCAGCCACAGAGATCATGAGTACAAACACATACGTGTGGACATTACTGCTCTCCAGTTCTCTGGCCCGTACTGTCCACTTCTCCATAGACCTCACAGGGACAGCAGCAACCGCATGACTCTGTATTTTTCTTCACCCACTCCTCCTCTCAGGGACGTTACAGTGATCTATTGACACTTGATTTTATTTGATGGGCATGGGCCTTAGGGGCACACGGCTGATAGATGACCCGTGCCAGAAGTCAGAGGTTTGTGCTTTAGTTCAGCAAGTATTTGAGAATGTTGCAAATATTACTAGTGAAAATATTGTTTTGACTCAGGTTTTTATGTTTTAATGTTCATTTATTACCTTTCTGACTTGCCTAACCCTTTAATAAAAAGGTCTGAGGAGAGGCCATTGCTTAAACGGGGATATATTACCATGGAAACAAGCAGGTGTCGCCACAAAAATATTATTAAGTCAGATCAGATCAGTCAGAAATTATTTTGTGGGGGAGCCCATTTAGCATGTTCACTGTATACTACTAAAGTTAGGACATTTTCATCCAAATAAATGTTAAGTATGATTTAATAAATGATTATTACCTACATTGCTCCTACATTGCTCAATATGGCGAGCGTTTGAAATAAAATAAATAAATCTTCAGCATAAATAGGAAATTAATGGTAACTACAATATGAATCGAAAGTCACTAAAACTTGTTTTTAGTTATTGCATACACAAAACCAACAATCTTGTATTAATATGTAAGGCTGTATCAAGCACTTATACCATGACTAATATTAGTGATATCCACATACTTCAAATGTCCACCATGGCTAAGGGAAGGGGTTGACATGTTTGTTTCTGTGTTGGCAGCCATGATGACAGCTTGACAAATAATGAGCTTGATCTGCACCACTGTTTAGCTTCTCGCTCTCCCTGAGGAGCCAAAAATCCTCTCAGCGTGAAAACTCATTTGGCCATTCTAAACAGAACCTTGTATCTTTGCTCCAAGATACACTTATGATTTGAGAGCAGCGTGAGCCTATTCTTTTTTAACACATTTTGAGTCGGGCTTTTGACCCTGCACTGGGAGCAGCGGGAGAGGCCTTGTGATGTGGGCTGACCCGTGTCCACCTCTGCGGGACATGGGTATGACAAGGGGACAAGGGTAGGCTCATTTTCAGGGACAGGGAAGGCATGTGGGGCGCAGGAGGAGCAGCACTTTCATCTTCTGGCTCAAAAAGAGGTCAGAGAGGAGCAAGGATCTAAGAACATAAGAATTTAATGGATGTAAAATGGTGTTTTTGAATTTTGCAGCAGATAGATTCATATAAAGGCTGTTTTTCAATAACATAAAACCTTGGATTGTAATTTCCTAGCAATAAATTTCAAAAGTTTTAATATGGAGCTGGAAGATGTTGCAATTAATGTATTAATTTTAAACTTGTGCACATACATTTGATAAAAAATAAAGAATGAAAAACAAACAGAAATACACAGATTGTAAAGAGTTTGGGCGAAGCAGGCACTTATTTGGCTCCAACCTAACACACACTCTGTCACAGATCCACCCTAGCCTCCCCACCTGTACTGAGGGCTTCTCTCTCCCCCTCCATGCATCTCCCCAGTGTCTTAAAACTGTGTTTTAAATGTAAACATATGTATTATAATCACATTGAGCATCTCTATCCTGGAATAGATTTTGTACATTAGGTGGCAGAATTTTGGAAGTTGTGCATGGGAAGAAAGTCTGGGCCTCGCAGCTTAGACTAAATCCTCCGCGACCCGGCAGAAGATAAAGACAATTGTATACTACCACATAAAGTGCTGTATAGACTTAAAGCGCTGAGAGGGCCACGCAGAGGTCTCAGTCTACACAAAACATTTTTAACCGCCGTGACAGAGACAGGAAAGGCTGTGATTGGTGCAGGAAAATGCAGTCAAGGGAATGTGGGATGGAGGCAATAGGGGAGACTCTGTACTCAATCTTATTATACTTTTGGCTGTTAGGGCAAGCTTTTCTCTCAGACAGTTCCTGAGTCTGGTGTACCACCAATTAGAACGGAGTGAATTGATAATACCATGTTAAGTACCTCTTTGAGCATCATGAAAAGACGCTGTTTTTGCGTATCACACACAAAACAGAAGTATGGTAGGCTCCAGAGGGACCTATAGACAAGAACGGAGAAGTATACTACAGCCTTTAAGGGGACCCCAAAACCACTAGAAGATCCTGGTGTGGACTAATCAACCAATTTGAGTGATGCAATTTTTGTTGTACAACTTTAATGTCATGATTAGAATGTGCTCTTTTTATCTAACTTATACCACAAAATAGATACAATTTTATATATATATATATTATATATATATATATATATATATATATATATATATATATATATATATATATATATATAAAAGTGAAAAAATGGGTGATCTTCAGGTTATTTGTGAAAAAGAGGCAGACTCTCTAGAAAAACATCACAATATGCTTGTTTTGTTTCTGAGCTCGTAAACAACAAAACACAAGAAGTCTCACAACGGATAAACAAGGCGATGTGCACTTTGAATTTGAGTGTAATAAAAGACACAGCGGGAAGAAGGATGAAAACTTGAGAAGAGAGGCGACTGGGGCTGAGTCCGTCTGAATGTGCGCGCAGCTTGGGCCTGTTAATGAGTGCATTATGAATTAGTTGAGCCATTTAGTGGAAACTTTCCCAAGGCTGGCACCAAGCTGGCCCAGTGTGTGGCGCCTTCAGATGTAAAAATAACAATCATGTGGTGGTGCAGCGCGAAGAGGGCAAATGAGCAATTTGAGAAGTGAAATTAGTCACAGAATTTACTGAAAATTACAAATAAATGCTCTCCCCTCAGAGCTGGTACATGCTGCTTTTTGAGTGTATGTGCTGGCTCTCCGCACGTGCGTTAACAATAAACTTACGCTTTTGATCAGACAAAGGACCTTTGAGTTTTCTCCTTCATGGGGTGTATAATTCTATAACAATGCATTATGATTCAATTTAACTATAAGTAATATCAGATTAGCCAGATAATCAAAAAATATCTGTATTAAATCTTCAATAAGTCCTATTTAGGAACAGCTGGAGGAAACCTAAGTAGACACAAGTAGAACATGCAAACTTCCCTTGGAAAGAAACCGAGCCAGCCTTCTTGCTGAGAAGCAGGAGTGCATCCATACTGATACCATAGGCTTGTCCTGGTCCTTGTACTCATACCATAGGACCCGATCCAGAAAACTGATATTTTTTGATTTACATTTACATTATCACAACAGCAGACAGCTGTGCGGCATGGAAATCTCCTAAAGTCTGCCGAGTGAAAGCGTTTTGCTGCTAGCTTAGCGGCAAGCGGATGTCGGCCGTATAGCAGATTTTAAAGGAAACGAGAGACAAGAGTAAAGCGGACTGTACGCTGTTTGTGGCAAAACTGTAACAAGGTGGGTCCAAAACAAAAACGTATAACACCAGCAACTTGATCAAATATCTGAAAACTCACCACCATGAGGAGTATAGCACCTTTGCTAGCGCCGGAGCTAGCACCGGAGCACAACAACAACTAACATAGTATTTGTATGAGTGAAATATGACAGTGGCTTAATATTTTTGTTAAGTGTTAAAAAAAAAATTCTAAAATGTTTAATAGTTAAAGCATTTTCTTATTTTTGAAAGGAGAAATAAAACATTTCACATTTCAGTTGTAGTAGTTTTATGAATTGCCAGGAATAACACAATAAAGTACTTGTATTAGTATTCGGTATTGGAAAGTACTCAAAAAAGGTACTCGTATTGGTTTGGAAAAAAAGTTGTACTGGTGCATCCCTAAATATAAGGTGGCGTAATATTGTGAATTCATCCATTTCTTACCCTTTCTTCAAGCCGGGCCACTTGGTCTCTGTAGAAAGTGTCTCGTCTTTGCAGATCTGCCTCCATGGCTTCAAGCTGCTTGGCCTGAACAAGGAGAAGACAAGAAGCTATGTTACAAGAAAGGGAATTGTAGGATGTGGTGGCATAAAGGATGTGAGAGGAGCCTGTTGTAACGAACAAGTAAATTATTCTCTATTTTCATAAAGATGTTTCATTTTTTTATTAATTTAAAATCTACAGGATGAATCAATGTGAAAATGGGGCATTGCACAATGACAATGCAATATTGAGAAAATAAATGATTCTGTTTATACCTCAACATTCTTTTTACAGATGGCATTGTTTTAAAATGTGATAAGGGGAAAAAGAATCCAGAATTATCCATGAGGAAAGTGTGTGCGTGTGTGTGTGTGTGTATGTATATGTATATTTGTACTTGTTTGATGACTCATTGTCTCAAAATGATAAAAGCTTTATCTGATTCAAAGGATTGGCCAGGCTTGTGTAAATCTGCCCGGTCCATCTCTACTGCCCTCTCCTCACTATGACCTTCACTAAACAAATGGCTGAGCCTTTCTTGACAAACATAGGTGAGAACACAAGGCAAGATAACAGTATCACTCATAATATGAGGTAAACTAATGTATGTATTGTATACACTGCAAAAAATGATCAAATATTGCTAGAATCGAGTTTTTTTTAACTTGACTTAAGTTCATTCTGACTGTCTTAAAATGAGATTTGCCAATGAGACAAGCAATTTTGACTTGATTCAAGAACTATTGCTTTATTTTCTCATTCCAAGAGAAAAATATCTTGTATCTTTTTAAAACAAGACAATTTTTCTTGTTCCACTGGCAAATCTTGTTTTAAGGCAGTCAAAATGTGCTCATATTTAGATAAATTTAGCCAAATTTGAGCATTTTTTTGTCTTTAATTCTGTCATCTTTTGCAGTGTAGACATTACATTGGTATAAAAGTGGATTTTTACCAGCACGGATGTTAGTTGTTATAAGTGATTTATATATAGAGTACATACAGAGTGCAAGCTACTCAGTTCACATTATTATGAAAAATATTTTATTCATGATTTAGGCAGTACTACTCATTACCAGGTAACTGAAAAACAGGGCGTTTGGCTGTTTAGGTATCCCAGCTTTAAGTTAAAATCTTTAGTCTAGCAGCCAATGAAAAATAAATAACCGTTTTGCCAGTTCATGCAATTCATTTTTATCTTAATTTCTTTGACGTCTTGATATTTTCTTTTGTACTACTTAATTACTGAAAAGAAGGCAATTTTAGGTCCTCACCGAACTAGATTAAGAGATTCTTTATTTGTTTCTTTTGTTTATTCTTTATTTAAATTTCAGACTATGCAGACTGAGGAGGTGGATAGAGCTGAAGAGGGTGAAGAAAAGAGTGCAACATGTGAGAAAACGAAATGGGAAAGACACACTTGACTCCTATCATGTGGAAAAAACCACAGGCACAGAAACTTACCTTGCATCTCATCTCCTGAAAGAGGCGGGCATTGGAGGAAAACGAGAGAGAGAACAGTTTGAGAAGCCATTGAATCAAGCGTGAACTTTTTGAAAATGACATTTGGAAAGCTTTAGTGTTAGGAACCTGTGGAAACACTTCAATATGTACACTTCTTGTGCGAACGCTCCTAGGTCTAACAATGAAATTCATGGTGCAGTATTTCCGATGGATTCCAAGTGCTCTAATGTCTGTACCTAAAGTTAAAAGCGCTTTGCCTATCAAAGAATGCAATATATGTTTTCTCAACACCAACTTTTCCTATCAATGTATTTATCTCCAAAATCAATTTATTTTTTATTAAATACAGCCATAAAATATAATTTTTCTTACGTTCTTGTGTTATTACTGAATCCAATCTAGTACTGACATGTGAAAGATGGGGGTATCAAACACGCAGCCCACTTATTTTGGCTCATAGTTTAAGATTATTTCTAGGATATATAGAAAACAACTGCTGTATTTATCATATAAAAATTTAACACTAAACCCAAAAAGCAAAATCTTAATTGCAGTCTGTAAGACTAAACCTTGGTCTTTGTCCAGATAGGATTCAATCCAAGCATCTGTGCTCATTTTGCACAGAACAATTTACCATAAATAATTTCAAAATCATTCAATAAATGTTATGGTCAAATAAAATCTTCAAGCAGAAACTCGAGAACTATATTACTGTATATCATTCAATCTGATTTGTTAGGGTATTTGCATAGGTCTTGTTCTGGTGAGCTATGGCTGAAGGCTAATACACTTATACTCATATGAGCATACAGCTGATGTGAGAAAGATGTGCCAGCCACTGTACTGGAGTTAAATGCTAGAGCTGGGCCTCCAAGCATTTTACAAAGCAGAGACAAGTAACTAACATTACGTTACGTGTTACACGTAACAAAAGTTACGTGTGCCCATCCAATCTCAGTGCGCTGATAATAATCTGTGGTGGATACTGCTCTTTGCATTGTTATGAGCAGGGCCTTGTGCTGAGGGAAGAGGAGGAGGAGCTTTCAAAGTCAAGAGGGAGGCTTCACACTAGACTACAGCACTATTCAAGTACTCCATAAGGGCAGCTTACAGAGGAGCCAGACATGCTCAGATCGGAATTACAATGAATAGAAAGTAGTTTTGCACATATACCACTGCCAATCCCACATCAACAGTGGCTTAAAGTGGGTCTTGCTGCCCTTGACTTGAAAATCAATATAGTGTAGAGCATGCATATACTGTATTTAAATATGTGGGGATTCAAAAAGATTCAATTTTGTTGTTTATTTTCTAAATTTCAAAACACAGCCATTTATTGGTAGTGTAGGTGTTCAATACCAACTACTGTCATGGCAAGATTATTTTGGCAACATGGGCGGCGGGGTATTGTGATTGTGTGTGTGTGTGTGTGTGTGGCGCAAAAAGAACTGGACTGATTGAGATGGCATTTGCTGTGTGGATGGGATGTGAGATGAATTGTGGTGGTATATAATAATAATGATATTAATCAGTTTTTGTAGCCACCTCAGGGTCACATAAAGGTAAGTATGTGCCATCGGCCCCTCCGACCACCGATAACCATTCAAGCTCAAATCCAGACTTATACTACAACAGTTTGGCACTTTACAGCCACAGCTGCTCCACTGTGACACCTATTGTCATAACCCAAATGTGAGCAATAGTATAGAGATTTAGACCCTGTTTAGATGGAGACGCTGCAGAGATGCTTCAAAGCTATTAGTAAAAATGACCAGTCTCCATATTTGAAGTCCACAGCCTTTATACAGCTACGTGAAATGATGTAGTTCTAGCGCCCGGCCAGTAGCGGGCAGTGCCCACCGCCAATGTTGTTGACGTTTGTTCTCTGCTACTGCGCGTGTCCTAATGTACGTGCGGAGAAGTGGAGGTCATAACAGGAAGAGAATTTGCACCAATTTCTTCACACAGCTGTGAGAGAGCCCTCCGCCAAGCATTGTATCCGTTCAGTTCCACTCTAGAGGCTGTTTCTCAAAGCTTGCGTCCCCCCCCCCCCCTCCCCCATCCTCATATAAAAAGGGCCTAAAACAGAATTTTTGCCACAGGCCCAGCCTTAGTTTATACTATGGCTATCACTCACAACATGAGAGGGAGGAATATTCAGTGAACGCATGGCACAAACATGGCACAAACATGGCACAATAGTGAGTCAAGTTTAATTTGAGAAAAAAAATGAATAAATCACATACCTGTATATTGACATTTGTATGTTTATTTGAATTGGACAGTGCATGTCATTGAACAAACACATTAGAAACATGAATGTAAACTTGTCAGATTATAGCCAAAGTCTAATTTCCATCTGTAGTCTTTAAGGGAATAACTAACACTGTGGGAAATCCAAGCTTCCAGGACAACACTTTTTCTACATTTCAGAAACTGCATTACACCGACAGGGGGGGGCCAAAAACCTGCCTCATGCCAACAGCTCAATTGATGTGGAAGAGAGAGGAGTCCGAGTCAGTGGGAGAGGAGGACTAGCGTGGGCGAGTGCCTTGGTAGAGGCCTGTGTAGTGTCGCCAGTGTGTCCAAAGTCAATGTTACGCTTCGAGGTGGCAACCAAAGACTTAACGGCTCAAAAGACAAAAGAGGCTGCAAACAACGGGCCAGACGCTGATATGAAGCACACACAAGCAGGAGACCAAAGGAGCAGCAGCTGTACCCACACAGGGGACACATTAAGGGGCTCTTTTCAAATATACGAACGATGGGATTATTGGCCTTGTATATGTTTATAGGGATATGTGGAAACTGGTTACGACTCACCAATCACAATTGGTTTTGATGGTGGCCAAGCACAGTATACTTTTATATCGATATATGGTTAGGCGACTTCATTTCAAAGTACACAATTTGTTGTGCGTTTGGGAAGATGGAAGAAAGCCATCTGTGTAGAAGAACCAGACAGATGGTTTTCAATTATTTCTCCACATATTCCCTAAAGTGTCCATCAATTTAATGTAAAATTCCTTACATTAGCTGTATATTGTATATAATACAGTAGGAAGTGAATATGATCAAATAGAATAAAAATACACCATTTAAAATATTTGGAAATTGAATCTTAAATCCAGGAGTCACCAACCAATAGCTTGGGAGCTACCAGTAGCTTGATTTAAAACTATCATCTCAAATAATCTCTACATTCATAATGTTTCTCATACCTACAACTATTGTAAGTAGCGCAGCCTTAAATGGATAATAGATTGGTTACATTGATACCCATAAAGTAATCCAAGGTCATGTCAACATTATATAGTATTGACTCGATGTATTTTGAAACACTTAAAGTATTCTCTGCAATGTTGTCCTAAAAAAGTAGCTCTCTGAACTAGACTAAACTTAAAAGTGAACTTGAACATACATGTAAGGCTCAGAAACTACCTATGCATGCATATGTTAAGAATGCTACAGTGGTTTGAAAAGTTTGAGTGATATATTAGCTTTTGAAAAGATACTAATCAACAAGACTTTTTCTAGAACATCAGAGTCCAAATGGGACGGAACAAGAATGGTGGTCCCTTGTTGTTCCGTCCCATTTGGACTCCTAATTTTTACTGAACTGTATCATATCATTGTAACGTTGAGATGAAAGGCCCCTGGATCTAAACATATGGTATTGTGTCATGCGCATTGAGATATCATAGAAGCAGGTTCTGGAAGATACCCAGCTTGAGTGATTTCCAACACTCTGTGATGCAAAGTGATTGATTTAAGGCAGAATGTTGAATATAATTTGTATTGAGCAAAAAAAAGACAAATTAAAGCCGCAAGCGGCGTCAAACGGCCCTCGCCGCACGGAGCGCACCACCCCGCACCGCGCGCACCACCCCGCACCAAGCCGCCCCGCACCAAGCCGCACAGAGCCGCATCAAGCCGCCCCGCACCAAGCCGCACCAAGCCGCACAGAGCCGCACCAAGCCGCCACGCACCAAGCCCTCCCGAATTAAGCCACCCCGCATCAAGCCGCCCCGCACCGAGCCGCCATGCATCAAACCGCCCCGCATCAAGCTGCCCCGCACCGAGCCGCCATGCATCAAACCGCCATGCATCAAGCCGCCCCGCACCACGACGCCCCGCACCAAGCGGATCTGCACCACGCCGCCCAGCACCAAGCCGCAACGCGCCGCTCCACAACCCCCTGCACTACGCCGCACCGCACCGTACCACGCAGCACCGTGCAACGAAGGTGGGGCCGCCGTGTGATGATTTGTTGCTGTTGCCATAGAAGAACGTTAGTCAAATTGTAATGAATATGATTATTAGAGCTGTTTGGCACCCCATGTAAAACTTTGCCTCAATCTGTAGGGGGCGCTATTGGGCCAATTTCAAATATTTCACTTTCACCTGACCTAAACCCTGGAGTTGAACATTGGATTAAAGTTTTGCGCAAATCAGACTTTGTTTGTGCAAACGGGAGCAAAATTAATGTTGTAAAAAACAGCCAATAAACACTCACATTTTGCCGCTCCGCTGCTCAAACAAAGTTTCACTGATCAAAAATCTCTGAGGTCATTTTGATGGTACATGTGTTTAGACAATGTGGAGTGATATGGAGGCCAATCGGTGAAACGGCCGAGGAGGAGTCGCTTTCCAACCGACATGTATGAAAATGATTGCGGATCATTTTTCCATTTTGCAGTGAAATTTATGGGCCTCCTGTTTGTCAGAGGGCGGAGCCATGGTAACATTTCGGTCGTATCTTGACTTGAGGAACATGTGTACCGAATTTCATGGCTCTACGACAAACTTGACCTCTGAAACTCCCATTGGCTGTTGTAGGTGGCGCTGTTCTGGCATTTTTTGAGTCCCATAAAAATAAACACCCAAATATCAAATTTTTCACCAGGTCTGAGTTTTGGGCAACATTTTACAACTTTTCATGCATGTTCAGGGAGTGAAATTAAGGCTCAAAGTGCAGAATTTGACATCTCTCGAGCAAAAACAATAGGCCC